TTCCATATCCAGACATCCCTTGGTTTGTGTTTTCTTTATTATCTATATTTTATTCTTCTAGTTTTGAACTGTTTCCTTTACCTGCTTGATTGCTTTTTTTTTGACATTCTTGGGTATCTTTGAGGGATTTATTAATTTCTTCTAGCTTTTTGTTTGTCTTCTCTTCCATTTCTTTAGGGGAGTTTTTCACTTCCTGTTTAAGGGTCTCTATTATTTTCATAATGTTACATTTAAAGTCAATTTCTTCTACTTCTTCTGGATTAGGATGTTCAAATCTTCCTGTTGCATGATTGCTGGATTCTGGTGTTATCGTATTGCTTTTCAGGTTGTTGGAGGAATTCTTGCATTGGCGCCTGCTCATCTCTTCCTTAAAATACAGCCAGGAGTCTTGGTGTCTTGGCCCAATCTTTGCTGTGGTGACTGTGTACTTGGGGGGGTATTCTTGATTTGCCCTCTCTTAGGTCCCCTCAGCACTGGAGTTGTCTCTCAGATCCCCTCCTCCCTGAAGCAGGCTGTGATGGTGAATCTAAAGACCCGAAGATGGAAAGGAGTTCTTGGGGGCAAGATGGGATGGGGTAAATAGAGAAAGCCAGTAGCCAGGGAGACGCCCCACTGAATGGCCAGAAACATTTAGGGAATTGGAGGGGGCCTGTACTCCATTCCTGGAGCATCCGGTAGGCCGGGCAGATACACACTTACCCCTCAGGATGGATCGTCTCAATACAGTAGCAGGGCCTCTTGCTGGCCAAGGACCTCGCAGACCAAGGTCCTACTTCTTGATCCAGGAATATCAGAACAGGATTATTTGCAAGGTCATTCCTTCTAAAGTACCCTTTGGATGACCCTGATATGTCTATGTGTGTTCCTACCTGTGGTGACCCTTACGTGTCTATGTGTGCTCCTACCTGTGGTGACCCTGTGTGTCCATGTGTGCTCCTACCTGTGGTGACCCTGTGTGTCCATGTGTGCTCCTACCTGTGGTGACCCTGTGGTGACAGCTGGTGTGTCCATGTGTGCTCCTACCTGTGGTGACTCTATGTGTCTATGTGTGCTCCTACCTGTGGTGACAGCTAATGAGTCTATGTGTGCTCCTACCTGTGGTGACAGCTAATGAGTCTATGTGTGCTCCTACCTGTGGTGACAGCTGGTGTGTCCATGTGTGCTCCTACCTGTGGTGACCCTATGTGTCCATGTGTGCTCCTACCTGTGGTGACAGCTGGTGTGTCCATGTGTGCTCCTACCTGTGGTGACTCTATGTGTCTATGTGTGCTCCTACCTGTGGTGACCCTGTGTGTCCATGTGTGCTCCTACCTGTGGTGACCCTGTGTGTCTATGTGTGCTCCAACCTGTGGTGACCCTGTGTGTCCATGTGTGCTCCTACCTGTGGTGACAGCTGGTGTGTACATGTGTGCTCCTACCTGTGGTGACTCTATGTGTCTATGTGTGCTCCTACCTGTGGTTACAGCTGGTGTGTACATGTGTGCTCCTACACAGCTCAGGTTCTGAAGTGTGGAGCAGAGTCACTAACATTTTTCCTTACTCAGACAGCTCTTGTCAACCCCTGTTAGTCTCATTTTCTTTCCTTCTGACTTTTTCATCAAAAGCAGCAGCCTCCTTGTTCCCATAACCTTTCTTCTCTACAAAGCCCTCCCAGCCCCAAGGAGGCCTGTAGCCAAGAGACTTGCCAGACAAGTTTGGATCCCCAATGAGGAGGAGACTGTTCCACCTGCTCATCATGCTCTCTACAGAGAGACTTTCAGACCAAGGAAGGACCAGCCTGGACACCGGAGCACCTTCTCTCTGGCTTCCAGAACAATCTGTAATTGTTAGGCCTTGGGTTATGGAAGTTCTCCTGCTGAGTCCTCCAGTTTATCCCTACTTCTGGGTTTAGGGCTTTTTGTTTGTTTCTTGGAGACAGAGTTTATTTCCAGACAGGGTTCCTCTATTAACCAACGGCAATAAAACGTATTCACAGCAAACAGAGGGGAATCCCACACCAGTAGACCTTGAACTCAGAGATCCAACTGCTTCTGCATCCCCAGTGCTGGGATTAAAGCTGTGCGCCACCGTGGCTGGCCTGGTTGAGGCTCTTTCAATGAAGCAAGTCATGTGGAACAAATCACAGGCCCTGGTCCAGACAGAGGAGCAGCTTATTCATTTCTCCTCCTCTATGCTGACATTATGAGGAGATAGGAGAGAACTCCCCAATCCACTGACATCCTGAGGCTGGACAGGCACCATCCAAATCCATAGTATTTATTATGAGCTGCCATCTTCCATACGTTCAGCTATTTGGTGGATACTTATATCTACTAGCCCAAAGTCAGTTTCTTTCGTCCTTCCTGTCTGTCTTTCTTATTTGTTTCTGGGACAGAGTTTCTCTGCGCAGCCCTGGCTGTTCTAGAACTTACTTTGTAGATCAGGCTGGATTTGAACTCACAGAGATCTGCCTGCCTCTGCTTCCCGAGTGCTGGGATTAAAGGTGTGTGCCTTTAAGTTTAATTTAAATTGTGCTAGCAATTCTTAGTTTGTTTGTTTGTTTTTCCAAAGACAATTTCTTAAGCAGTTTATAGATTTTAATAAGAGAACTTCTGGTGCCTTTAATTCTGGGAGGAGCAACTTTGACAGATGGAAACTCAACTTTGCTGTCCATACTTTTCCCTTTGGTATGCAGCCGTTCCTCCAAGGTTAAAACCTTTCATCTTGGAGGACAATTTCTGAAGATATAGGATGCAAAATAGAAAACTGCTTAGAAGAGGCAAAAACCAAACAGTTTGGAAGAAGCAGAGAGAAGCTGAGCTGCCTGTAAGAAGCTCAGACCAGCTGAGGCACCTGGGAAGGAAACTCTCCAATCTGTAGAGCTGCCTGCAGGCTGTGCAGTGTGCTCCAGGTCTTCTACTTTTGTGAACTGTCACCTATGCTGAGGTGGACTTTGGTGACGTAGATGTCTTTCCCTCAGTTGTATTCTAAATGTCACTTTTTTTCTTTAATTTTTTTTGAGTCCTCCATCTGTCTTATATAACTCTGTTCCCTGTTGGGGCCAGCCCCCACAGAAATGCCTTTCTTCAGAGTAGAGGCATGGGGATTTAGAAATACACAACCCAGCCCACACCATTCACACTGAAGTCAAGCCTAGTTCCCAAGATGCTAGCCACCAGACCTTTTTTATTTGTTTCTGATAAAAAAAAATATAAAAAAAACCACAGAGAATTCAGTGGCAAACGACGACAGCCCTTTTAGGAGACTGAAATCGGATGTGTAGAAATACTGAGCACAGACTAACAGACTATTGAAGGTGCACTTGTTCCTTGGAGGCAGGTAGGTTTTTTTTTTTTTTCGAGACAGGGTTTCTCTGTGGTTTTTGGAGCCTGTCCTGGAACTAGCTCTTGTAGACCAGGCTGGTCTCGAACTCACAGAGATCCACCTGACTCTGCCTCCCGAGTGCTGGGATTAAAGGCGTGCGCCACCACCGCCCGGCTGGAGGCAGGTAGTTAATGGTGGAATTACCACTTTGGGTGGCTTGTGTTGCTTGTGCATGGTTTTGCTGCTCTGTTTTACCACTGGGATACTGGAAAATGGGTCTAGAGTAAAGTTAGACCTAGGACTCGGGTTCTAGAGGACACATTGATGTTAACAAATTATTCCAAGATGCTGTGTACTTTTTTGTTAACTCTTAGCACACAGGGTCAAAAACTATCCCACGGAATTGGTATTACTGCTTCCTTCAAATTGGCCTTTGATTAATTATGTCAAAATGTAGGCAGTATTTTATAATCCCTTGTCTTGTGCTGTTTCCAGTGATGAATGTCACCTGGAAGACAGATAATAGAAGCAAATGCTTCTAAACTAAGTGGACAAAGTGAGTTGTCACATGACCAAGAAGTCAGTCAGCATTGTTAGAGCTGAGTCCATCTGACTTGCAGTCGGCTGGCACCTTAGTGCTCTGTCTCAGTTCAGCAGTGGCCTTGGGTTTTGGCTAAGAGGGTCTTCTTTCTCCTTAGATTCAGCAGACTGTGCAAGATATTTTTTTTTGGTTTTTCGAGACAGGGTTTCTCTGTGGTTTTGGAGCCTGTCCTGGAACTAGCTCTTGTAGACCAGGCTGGTCTCGAACTCACAGAGATCCGCCTGCCTCTGCCTCCGAGTGTTGGGATTAAAGGCGTGCGCCACCACCGCCCAGCTGTGCAAGATATTTTTTAAAAATATTTATTTATTTACTTATTATACATACAATATTCTGTGTGTTTGCCTGAAGGCCAGAGGAAGGCACCAGACCTCATTACAGATGGTTGTGAGCCACCATGTGGTTGCTGGGAATTGAACTCAGGACCTTTGGAAGAGCAGGCAATGCTCTTAACCGCTGAGCCATCTCTCCAGTCCCTGTGCAAGATATTTTTGACAGGAACACCACTATTCCAACCAAAAATAGCCAGGTAAGTTATCCTTCCTAACAAGTTTTATGTTCTATGAGTGTGTAATTGCAGCCACTTTATGAACTTTTAAAAACTTTTTCTAAATGCACACTAGCTGACCGGATGGTGAGATTACCGTGTTTTTTGTGATTTTTGTTTTCTTGCAGTTTCTGGAAAAGTTCTTAGATATCAGTTGGCAGTTGTGATTAAGGGAAAAACAATGCAGTCTCCTAAAAGGGCTGTCGTCGTTTGCCACTGAATTCTCTGTGGTTTTTTTTTATATTTTTTTAATCAGAAACAAATAAAAAAGGTCTGGTGGCTAGCAACTTGGGAACTAGGCTTGACTTCAGTGTGAATGGTGTGGGCTGGGTTGTGTATTACCAAACAGGGATATACGGGCATGGCTTAGCAGAGTCTTAGATGAAGAATTACTTGTGCCTGGTTGGATTGTCCCAAAACTTGGGAAGTTGAGGCATGAAAAAATGAGAGTATGAGAACTACCTGGATCATGTAGTGTGCTGTTTTCGCAAGTGGCTGTTTCCAGACTCAAATAAGTCTTGAGTTTTTCTAGAATCTCTCTCTTTGGTGTTTGTGCAGTGATGTGTGTTTCAACACATCATACAAAAGTATGTGATGACATCTCAGGACTGAGCGCATGGTACATCGCCTGTCTCTGGTCTTACGACCCTGGACTGGCCTCAAACTTCCAATCTTAAAGCTTCATCTCATTCAACGGTCTTGTTTAGCTGAGACAATAGCTGCTGTGTGCCTTTAATATTCATCCTACTCACCTGTGTTTGCAGCGCTAAACCTTTGTTCTGAGAGTAGTGTATGCTAGGAATGATCCAGTATTAGAATGTGACTGTCTCTAGTTAGCCTTTTTCTGTATAATACACGGCGGGGGAAGGAATGATAAATACAGTGAGTTATGTATGATGGATGAGCTGTGTTGAACAGAGCAAACTGTTACCTAATATGAAATCTCAGTGATCACAAATATTTTCTCAACAGATGGCATCTGAACAGGAAGGTTCAGGAAGTTCTGGCACTGGGGAACAGAAGGAAGACCAGAAGGAGGAGAAACAGTAACAGTGGCAGCAGCGCACTGAGAAGCCAGGAGTGAAGGGACTTCGGTCTTTTACTGTGCTTTTTGAGTTACACTGTTTTGTATAACTGGGGGATCCTGTGAAAGTAAAATGATGGTTAAATTTCAAGATCAATGTCTTTTAAAATTGCCAATAGTCTCTGAGTATTTTGTGCAGATCTGACCAAAATGTTGTATAAGATGTGCACCATTTCAGCTAACCAAGTTGGAACTGTCTTGTGCAGCTGGTACCCAAAGCAGGTCTTGTAGTAGCGCTATCAGTATCATGACGTCATATCAACCAGGTGGAGTTGTTGTTATGGGGCCCCATCTTCTTCCTGGAAACTTCAAATGTCACTTCAGGAAAAACTCATTGTTCATTATGAAAAACTTAAACATTAATCATATAGACATATACAGACACACACACACACACACACACACACATATATATATATATTCAATGAAAGACATGATAGATATATTCAATGAAAAGTATGATAGATATGAAGAAAAGCAAAGATGTTTTCTAAACTCATATTTCTTTCTGTCCCACATCATGGCTCTTGACATGAGACAGAAACTCCAGAAACTCTGGGTTTTTCTCTTACTAACAGGCTTGGAATTGGAGAGGGACTGAGCCAGAGTCCAACTTCAAAACCAGCTTTATAAATTTAGAAATATGGTTTAATTTTACTTACACAACCCATTCAGTTTTCTTGATATTTCCTATTGGGCAGGTATTTTTCCATCTGTCAGTATCCAAACATCCAGGGTCCCTTGAATTTCTCAAAGATGAGTGTTTTCCTGTGGAGATAAGAACAGAACCCTGCCCCATTCTATATGTTTTTCTTACCACCTGTATGAATATCATCATTGTGGATGAGTTGTCATTTCTCCTTTCCAAGAGGTTTCTCCTCTTCAAATCGAAACTTTATTAATTTTGATGGTATCCACAATTTTTCTTCTCCTGTGGAAACAAGAGCAAAACCCCTTCCCCAACATAGCACATCTCCTGGCTTCCACTGAGAGGTCAGCACATCTTTGAAATAAATCGGTTGATTTAGTTCAGCAGACTTTTCCATTAGCCAATGTCTTTCTGCTGCTGTCGTTCCTTTCTCATTAGCGTTAAGAAAATTCAAGGTTAATAAAGCATTATGTAATCTATTTCTGGGGGTATTTTCGGTCCCTTTCTGTTTGTTCAGCATATCCTTTATAGTACGATTTGATCTTTCTATAACTGCCTGACCTGTAGGATTATTTGGTATACCTGTAATGTGTTTTATATTATAATAATCAAAAGAGCGTTTCATTTTCTTAGATACATATGCTGGACCATTATCTGTCTTTATTTGTGCAGGTATACCCATGATGGCCATAACTTCCAATAAATGTGTGATTACTGAATCAGCCTTTTCTGAGCTCAGGGCAGTAGCCCATTGAAAATCTGAATACGTGTCTATGGTGCGGTGTACATATTTTAATTTACCAAATTCCATAAAGTGGAACACATCCATCTGCCAGATTTCATTTCTCTTAGTGCCCTTTGGGTTACTCCCTGCAGGCAACGGTGTTTGATTATAGAAAGAACAAGTAGGACATCTCTTTATAATGTCCTTAGCTTGTTGCCAAGTAATGGAAAATTCTTTCTTTAAGCCTTTACTATTGACATGATGCTTCTTATGAAATTCTGAGGCCTGCAACACACTTCCAATCAATAATTGGTCAATCTCAGCGTTGCCTTGGGCTAGAGGACCAGGCAGACCTGTATGGGACCAGATGTGTGTTATGTACATCGGACAAAGCCTGTTCCTGATTATGTCTTGTACCTGGATAAACAATGAAGTCAACTCTGTGTCATCTGGTATAAATTCAGCGGTTTCAATATGCAAGATAACTCTTTCTGCATATTGTGAATCTGTAACTATATTAAGAGGTTCTTTAAAATCCCTTAGCACCATAAGAATGGCATATAATTCTGCCTTCTGGACAGAATTATAAGGGCTTTGTTCCACCTTACTCAATTAATCTGACTTGTAACCTGCTTTCCCTGATTTATTTGCATCAGTATAGAACGTACGGCCTCCAGTTATTGGAGCATCACGTACAATTCTAGGAAGAATCCAAGAAGTTCTTTTTATAAGGTTAAGTCTACCACTTTTGGGATAGTTGCTATTAATTTCTCCCAAAAAATTAGCACAAGCTCTTTGCCACGGTTCATTGTCTTCCCATAACTTTTTTATTTCTTCAGTAGTAAAAGGCCCTATAATTTCTGCTGGGTCTATACCTGCTAGTTGACGAAGTCTCAGCTTACCTTTTATAATTAATTCAGAGACTTTTTCCACATAAGTTTTTAATTTTTTACTTGGTTTATTAGGTATAAATATCCACTCTAAAATAATATCTTCCCTCTGCATTAGAATCCCTGTAGGAGAAATTCTGGAAGGCAATATGACTAGGATGCAGCTAAGATTTGGGTTCACCCTATCCACACGTGCCTCCTGTAATTTTTCCTCAATCATTGTCAGTTCCTTTTCTGCTTCAGCTGTCAGTTTTCTTGGACTATTCAAATCTTTATCACCATCTAAGGCTTTGTTTAAATTAACTATTAGATCAGGTGTTATCCCAACAGCTGGTCGTAGACTGGAAATGTCTCCTAACAATCTTTGGAAGTCATTAAGAGTCTTTAACCGGTCTCTCCTGATTTGTGCCTTTTGCGTTTTAATTTTCTCTAACCCTATTCTGTAACCTAGGTAATTAATAGAATTTCCTCTTTGAATCTTTTCAGGGGCAATTTGTAATCCCCACCTAGGCAAGACTTTCTTTACTTCTTCAAACATCCTTTCTAAAGTATCTTTATTTGAATCAGATAACAAGATGTCATCCATGTAATGATAAATTATGGACTTGGGGAATTGTTTACGAATTATTTCCAATGGCTTACTTACAAAATATTGGCACAATGTAGGACTATTGAGCATACCCTGTGGGAGGACAGTCCATTGATATCTCCTATTAGGCTGAAAATTATTATAAGTAGGCACTGTGAAGGCAAATTTTTCTCTATCCTTTTCTTGTAACGGTATAGTGAAAAAAATAATCTTTCAAATCAATAACTATAAGAGGCCATCCTTTTGGTAACAGAGAAGGCAAAGGAATTCCAGATTGTAGTGGGCCCATAGGTTGAATTACTTTGTTGACAGCTCTTAGATCTGTCACCATTCTCCATTTACCAGATTTCTTTTTTACAACAAACACAGGAGAATTCCAAGGGCTGGTTGATTCTTCAATATGGTGAGCATCTAGTTGCTCTTGCACCAGAATTCCTAGAAATTCTGTGCCTGCAATCCCTTTTCAGATGTCCTAATTTACCACAATTAAAACACCTGGCAGTTTGATGTCTCCTCATTGCTGTGGAAATCGCTTCTCCTACCCAAGGTTCATCGTTATAACTAAACGTCTCAACATTCATCGTATGCTGAATCCATTCATCCATAGGTGCTGATCTAGACTTTAAAGGCCCAATTATCTTTTTGCATTCTATGTTTGCATTCTCAAAAGCTAGAGATTCAAGAAGTATTCGTCTAGCTTCTGGGTCTGTTACCCCTATGTCCAGAGCCTTAATTAATCTTTGCAAAAAGTCAATAAAGGGTTCTCTCGGTCCCTGCCTAATTCTAGTATATGATTCAACCCTTTTTGCTGGATCTTGTATCCTATTCCAAGCATTTAAAGCTGCTTGGTGACATAGACACAGTACTTCATCGTCATAAAGAGCTTGGACCTGTGGATCAGCATATTCTCCTGCACCAAGAATTTGATCTTGGGAAACCTCGACACCTTTTTCTCTTCCTTGCTGTTCCATATGTTTGGATTCTTCTCTGAAATAAATTCCAAACATCAAGGAAGGTCCATTATCTAAAACTGCAGACACTAACTGATGGAAATCATGGGGGGTAGCTCTAACATTAGAAGCCCAAGTCCTTATCATTTCCTTTACATATGCAGAGTGCAAGCCAAAATTAACAATAGCTTGCTTAATTTCTTTTAGATCATTCATTGCTATTGGCGTCCATCTAGCTTCTCTGACTCCCTTTGAGCCTTTAGAAGTTGAGGCTTTGTCAGAATTAAGTATAGGGTATGCCACTAAAACCTTTGGTAAGCCAGTTCTAATGGCTGGTGTTGGCATTGTATCCTGTCCTTGTGCCTTATTACTCTGTTCACCAGCTCCAATCATTTCTTCAATCATTTCAAGTCTTTTTATTATTGTCTTTATTATTGTCTCTTTTGAATCCTGAATCTCCTGACCTGCATGAGTTTCTAGTAAAGATTGTATGGTTCTTAGGAGTGCCATGATCTTCCTAAATGATAGAATATTCAAAAGAATACTGAAGCCTAGTAACCAGTAAATTAAGTTACATAGTCATATAAACCTTGCATGATATAACCCATTGTATTGGCAACCAGAACAGTAAAATTCGCGTTGGAAACGAAAACTGCCATATTACCTATTATTCAGCCGGTGGCGCTGTTGCCAAGTCGCGACGAAAACAGAGTCCTGTTTCAGAGTCCGCC